TCATCTGACAGCTTTGCCCCACCCCCAGCATCTGGATCCCTGATACTGGCCCTACACATAGGCCCCTGCTTGGAGGAGGTCCTCGGGGGTGGTTGACTTCCCCAGATAGGCAACCCCCCCCCCTCCAGTTACCCCCGCTACAACACTGCACAGGCAACTGGCTAGATATGTCCCTAAAGTTTGTCTAGAAAAAAAAAAGATGCTTGGATCTTGGAATATATCTTTCCTTAGAACTGATAGATTGGTGGGTGCAGTCCCAGAAAAACCATTTAATATGCATGCACCCACACTAAGTACTAAGAAGTATGAGTGCTGATACCATAAAAACTCTCACTTCCCATCAGCCCACATGGGGCCAGGCCCAGGACAGAAAGGAGGACTCATGGGCCTTCACACCCCCACAGGCACTGGCTGCCAGCAGACACTTCCCTTCTGAGTCCTTGACCTATAAGACTCCAGCCTTAGCTGTCCTGCAGGCTGAATTCTCCCCAAACCTGGTCTCTTTCCCATTTTTCATTGCTTAATAGAATCTCCATCTGGATCTTCTGGCAACTCCCCTCTGGCCAAACCCACTGTGCTCCAAAGGGTAGAGCCCAAGGCCAGAGGACCAGGAGGCCCGGGTTCTGTCACCAGCAGCTGAGCCTTCTTTTGGGCTTCACCATTCTCCTGCGTAAAAATATAAGGGGCATGCAAGAAACTACCCATGGCTCTGTCTGATTCCGAAGGGAATCGAGCAGCCTCATTGGCCTTCCTGCGTCCATGCTCCTCCATGCTCTCATGTGGCTAACAATTGCCTCCTTCTTCTCCCAGCAAACTAGCGCAAAATGTCAGTGTACAATTGATTCTTCTCTCCCTCCCTCAAATCCAATCAGTCACCAAATCCTGCAGGGCTTCTTGGCAAGCTCACTCACCTCTGCTTCCTTCTCCTCTTCATCCCTCCTGCCATTGCCTTGATTTAGGTCCTAATCTACTTCAGCGGGTTAGTACAACAGTGCATTCTCACAAGAAGTTCTTCTCTCCTTCCAACCTGCCTTTCCCAGCCCGAACCCTTCTCAAAGCACAGCTTTCACCATGTCTTTTCCATACTCAAAGATCCTCGATGTTACCAGAAGAAAATTAAAGCCTTAGCTTAAATTTTCAAGGCCTTCTATGATCTCTCCCCAGGCTAAGTCTATAGCCTCATCTCTCCCGGTGTCCCCTCCCCACTTCACTATGACTCCAGCCCTGTGGGTCAGTCCTCAATGGGCTTGTCCCAGTCTTTCAGGTTCTGCTCTTGTTCCCTCCCTCATCTCTTACACAAAATAACCTGCCCCTTCACCCTTTACTGAGGCAAACATTGCAAAACCAGCTGGCTCAAGTCTCCTGTCGGCCACAAACTCTACCTGAACATCTGCCACGTGTAAGCTGCACACAGACAGCTAAGAGTTTGCAGGGCCTGTGGACAGAGATATGCAAATCAAGAGCCTAAGGAGTGCAACAGAGACCTGTATTTCATGCTATACATATGTAATGTTAGAGAGAGGAGTAAACATGACTTGGGGGTGGGGATAGGAAAGGTGTTTCAAGAGATTGATCTGCATTAATCTGAAAGATTAATAAGAGTTCATTCATCTCACAGAGCAGAGACCAAAGGCCTTCCAGGAAGAAAGAGGAAACAGCATATGCAGAGACAGAGAGGCACAAAGGATAGGCATTGTTGAGCTGCTCAGTTTGGGGAACAGTGGAGATGCAGCTGGTGAGCTAAGTTATTGCCAGGTTCCGCAGGGCACTGAAGGCCACACAAGGATGTTATACTTTATCCTTTCAGAGAGGCAATCCGGTCCCATCTGTGTCTAGACTTTCTTTCTACACATGTGTTACAGAGGTCCAGGTGACTATACAACAGGAAACATGGTGATTAAAAGCATCATGCACAATGAATGCTCAGTTATCAGTGAGCATAACTGTGTATGTGACAGAAAGAGGAAATGAAAATAAGAATTATCAAGGAGCACTGAAGTAAGAATTACCTAGAAGCACTAAACAGGTATCATAAATTTCCTGAAGTCAAAGCTGAGAGCTAGCAGCCGCCTAGAACTTGAAAGTCCTCGGGGAGATCAGGGTCTACAGCTAAACAGATGCTCTCAGACAGCACCTCCCGGAAGATGATCCACCTGGTGCGTGAGCGGTAAGAATGGACCTCCTGAAGATCCGCAAGGTCGACAAGACCTGGCTTTCAGAAGCTGTGAAGGATACAGCCCACCTTTCTGAGACTACCTGTGGATTCTGTGATAATGGAGACAGTGTTGCAACCAAATAATGATGCCAGGAAACAGGAAGTGGGACTGCTCTGAAGAAGGAGGAAGCAGGAAAAATAGTGACTTAGGAAAACACAAAGCTGACAAATGCTTCAGCCTAGTTGTGTCCACACCAAGTAGTGAGAGTGTCACATCTTTTTTTTTTTTTGCCTGAGTATCACCTCTTGAACAGGGTGTACAGTCTGGGAACTTAATTAGTGCTGAAATACCTCCTAGTGTGTTCATGTGAGCTCTTCCTTCTCATATTTTACAATAGAGAATCCACCAGAGGATTTTAAGCAGGGGAACGGCATGAACAGATTTGTATTTCAGGAAAAAAATTTTCTGATGTCCTGGTGAAAAATAACTTCAAATCTTACCCCAAATGTTACAGTCCAAAGTACGTGCCACCCTTCCTCCAAAGCTGGATTCTCGCAGAATTCGTCTTCCCTCCTCACATGACCTGTGCAGTCAGTCAAGACTGACACAGCTTCCTCCCTGGCCCCTGCCTTATAGATGTTCTCTCTCCAGAGTCCCTCCTGACAGAATGCTCCACAATCTCAGACCAAGTATAAGGCCTCATCACTTCTATCCTGACTGACTTTCCAGGGTCTTACCTGGGCTCCCCACCCTTGGGTGTCTTTGCCCCTGGCCACTGCTTCCCACAGCATTGCCAAGAGTCCCCCACACCCAATCACACCCCACCTTCATCAATGTCACCTGGGGGAAATTAGGATAAAAACATCCCAAACCTACTTAAATCTAAATAGTTTAAAAGCTCCCCAGGTGATTCTGAGGCCTAGCCAGGTTTGCAAACTACTGCTCTAAATCCTTGTTAGAGATAGTGAAGGGATCTCACAACCAGGAACAGGTTAGAAATGAAGAATGTCAGGTCCCACCCTTGACCTTGAGATCAGAATCTGCATTTGAACAAAATCCCAGGTGATTCTTAAGCTTGTTACAGTTGAGAAGCACTGTTCTCAAGGGTTGCCTGACCATTCATCCCACACTATTTACTGAATTTTCTCCACATCAGACTACGGTTTGGGAAGTTGGGAGGATCTAGGGCCAAGGTCCCTGTCTTGAAGCTCACAAAAACATCCATCCTTCCCCTGCTTAAGACCCATTATTGACTTCCATGCTTTCAGACAACGTCCAGACCTTCGCCACCCACCTGGCCTTCACCAGTGGCTGGGGACATGTTTTCCATTCTTGTCAATTTCACTGCCCACCACTCACCATAGGGGCCCAGCTGGACAACTTGCCACATCTCAGGGCTAGCTGGTGCTTGCCTGCTACACAGTTCTCACAGCCCCGGTCACACACTACCCACCTCTGCCTGGAGAAACTTGGGAGATATCCTTTGAAGTCCTTTATATACATGTCACCCCCTTCTTGACATTATCCCAGATTTTCCCTGCTCAGATGAAGGACAGGAATTCCCACAACTCTTTGCTCATATCTCCTTCATGGCATTCATCTCATTCCACTTAGTCTGCAAGTTAGCACACCTACTATAGCTACCCCAGTAAAGAAGAGACCATGATACTGTTTGTCTCCCAAGCAGCAATAGGCTAGTAACTGGCACATCATCAAATCTCAAAGTAATAATAATAATGTGTTAAATTACCACCCACTTCAACGTCAGTTAAACATGAATTTAAGCAGAATATAAATGAGCTGCTGCTCGTAAGCGCAAAAGAGAAAAAAATCTCTATATCAAATAACATTATGTGTTTTCCATATACAAATAATAATCAAAGACTGAACATCCTGAAGATGAATTAATTATGTTTACAGCCAATTACCTTTCCGTAATTGGGCATTTAATTTCACAAAATGCAATAAAATTTGGAAACACTTCATATTTGTATTATAATCAATTAAGGAACTGGGAGAGGAAGGAGAGAGGAGAAAGACAGAGGTTGACCAAAACTGGAAAGGGAGATGGATCTATACCAACTACCCAGCTGCTGTAAATGTAAAAATAAAATACTCTGAATTTATTTTTTAAAAGGATGAAACACTGACTAAAATGCTTGTTTCAATTCTATCCAAACTTTAAAAGTTCTGGTCTTTAGATATAATTTTATTTTTATCTGAGGAAAAACTGGGGTCTGGAGTGGGAATGTCAGGAGGGAGAGGAGGATCCCACTTTCAAATAGGACCACCCCCTTCTTGCAGTCTACTGGGAGGCAGTGGCTAGGCAGTTTCAAACGCAGGTTGCATTTTTGCAATTACAGTATAGAGCTGGTCTCAGCCGAGGCTTTGCATCTGGACACACGCTCCGTCGAGCACACATTTACTTGGGCAAACAGCCCGTAAACTTCTCGGCCACCTTGGGCTCTCTAGGTTACACTGCTCCGCCGCCTGAGCAGAGCTCTGACATACCACACAGAACCAAAGGGCCCGACCACCCAGCGCATCTCAGGAACATCCCAGCACCTGTAGGGGCGCAGACTGTCCGTAGGTTCCGGGCAGAGCAGGGTGGAGATTCGGAGCGAATTCCTAGAGTCACACCGTCCTCCCAGTCTTCTGGCCGGAGAAGGGGAAAAGGGTCCGCGTCCTCGCGCCTGGGACCCGCTCTGGGACCATGCTGTCACTGACCTCTACTCCGCGGGTGGCTCTAGGATCTGGGGGCGCTCCGAGTCCCAGGCAATGCCCCTGCGGGCTCCCAGATCAGACCGCGCAGCGGGCCTGGGGACTTGGGCAGAGCCCACTGACCTGGGTGCGGGGCTCCTCTCCGGGCGGGTCAGGTGTGCGGGCCGCTCGCGTGTCCCTCTCACCTCGGAACATGAGAGCTGAGAGCCAGGCTGCAGGCCACTGACCCACCGACCAACTGATCCACCAACCAGCGGACCGACCGGCAGTGGCCGAGTCTGGAGCCCACGTGACGGGGGCGGGGACCCATGGGAGGCTCGTCCCGCGGCGCCCGCTTCCCCCGCCTTCCTTCCCCTGGGACCGCCCTTCTGCCACTCCCCCACCCTCTCCTGCACCGTTGCGAACCGTAGGGACCGGTCCGCCACAGGTTCCGGTTCCTCAGGGACCGGCCTTGTCAGCCCCGCCCCTTCGAACCTGCCTGAGCCCTGGTCCGCCCTGCCCCGGCCCCGCCCCCTGGACCGCGCTCCTTGTTCCCAAGCCCCGCCTCTCCCCGAAGACCACGCCCCTTAGCCCCGCCCCGCTCTGTCACCTCCCCGTTCCGCACCCTTCCCGCCCTGGGGAGGCCGCGGTAGGGTCCCCAGCTCTCAGTCCCTTGGGCTCCCAGCCATTCAGCACCATTCCCCGGCGGAAAGAGATGAAAACGGGGAAGCAGAAAGGGAATTTGTCGCGAATTGCAAAAAGAGAAGCCATAGAAAAACCGATTAGAGGCACACCCAGCGCAACATTTTGGGTGTCTGGACTCCCCGACCGGTGCGATCCTGTCCAAATAGAGGTTGGCCAGAAGGAAGCCTTATTCCCTGTCTCTAATTCCCCTGCCCCGCCCACTCTCTGCCCCTCAATATGGAAGGCTCTGAGGCACCCTAGGGTCCTGACGCGCTTGAACCCCTGGGGTGGAGGTCCCCCTAGTGGCCAGCGCCAACTAGAGGCACTGGTGCCCAGTCTCGCGAAAAGCTGAGGACAAGAAGCAGTTCCCTGTGCCCAGTACCGAGGCTGGAGTCCAGAGGCCCAAGAAAAACTTTGACGATCTGACCACAGGAATGAATTCTAAAATCTGGGCAGGACTGCTCTGAAGACCCAGCCCAATGCCTTCCCCCAGTGTATGGCCTGAATCCCCTTTGGTTGTACTGCTAGGTTGTTGTCCTGCCTAGGCCTCCAAGGACTAGTTGCCCAGTTCAGCTGATTAAAATCCCTGTGGGCCTCAGATGGCATCGACACCAGGGACTCTGGCATAGTCCCCAGCTCTGGCAGGAGTCACTACAGCCCTGGCCTCAGTTTTGTTCTCTACGTTTCTACAGGCTGGAGTGTTGACAAACTCCACCAAAATATCTTTTTTCTTTTTTTTTAAATTACCCTGGTGATCTGAAATTACCAGTGTGCTTAGCAGACTTACATGTGAACAGAACTTAAGCCAGCCTGGCAAATATGAGACTCTGGTCACTGCAGGAACCTGGCCAGAAACAGACTAAGGGCAAAGCCAGGAGAGGAAGGCTGGGGCCCACAAGAGTTGTGTTACAACAGGACACCCTTCAGTTCTTTCACTTCCTTAAAATAGCAGCAGAGAGGCTTTTGTAGATGAGGCTGCCACAGTTCACACAAGGTCACGGGTGTTCCCAAATCCCACATGTCATTGCTCCAGTGGACCCCGTGCCCGGACCCCAGCCCTCCAAAACTGCTAGTCTGTTCTCAGAACTAGGCAATTAACTTTTTAAAAATCAGTTTAAAAAATGGTGTTAAGTCACTGGCTCTCAAGCTTATTTGCACTTTGGAGCCACTTTGAGGAGGGGACTTTAAAATGTATCTGGGGCCCACCTCCAGAGGTTGATTTGACTGCTTGGGGGTATGGCCTGACCTTAGGAGTTTTTCAAGCTCCTCAGGTGATTCTTATGTGCAATAAAGATTAAGAACCATTGGTATAGGTCACAGGGACTTCAATCCGGACTAAAATCCCACAAAAACCCCAGAGTTGAAAGGTGATTTACCTGGAAGAAGCCAAAAATATACAAAAGTGGCTTATTAACAGTGGCTTCCTAGAGAAAATGTCTTGACCTAAAAGAGTGATTCTTGCTGCAGGAATTTAAGGCACCAGGGTGGATTGTTAGTCAAAGGGCATCCTGCAAAACTATCAATTCAAAGTATATCACAAATGAAAGTCAACCTCTCCTCTGTACCTCCAAAGGAACTAGGTGCCCAGGACTCACACACAACTCCACTCGCTAATAACTCCACCCTCTTCTGTGAGACATCTCACATTCCTTATCCTTGTGAAATAGGTCATCTTTTTTTACCCATAGGGTAGGTAATATCCCCAAACCCATGGAGCGGGTAATATCATCATGTTTATTCATACCTGTCTCATTCCACAATAGACTTGGGCTTTCTGTATCACTATATTAGAACAGTGGGTAATTTCACTGTATCCATGGGGTGAGTAATTCCATTCTGCCAAAGAGCTACTCAATTGCTACGGGGGAAAAAACCTCTCTTCACTGCCTATGGCCCCGGCCTGGGCTTGGCAGGGTCTGGAAAACAGCTGCAAGTGTACAAAGCAAACCTTCTCATGTGACCAACCTGGAAAGACAGAAGCACATGACACAGACTGGCACCACAGCCTGCACTTGTGACCCAAACCAGGCTGAATTGAATAAACGCGTGGGAAAAATTTTGAAGAAGCCCCTCTGGCCAGGCACAGCTGCCCTCTGTCCCCTGTGCCACATGGCACGCCTGCTGTGGCAGGGAGTCCCTTGGAGGCTATCTGGCTTCCATCCAGATTCCAGAATATTTACTAAGGGCCTCAGTGTGTTGAGGATTGTTCACAATAAACCCGGGCACAAGCAGCACTCCCTGGAACTGCGTTGCTTGAAGGCATGTAGGCAAATATAACCGGATGAGGTTTGTTTGCTTAGTGTCAGTTTTATTGTATTTTGAGCAAGAAGTGAGATGTAGGGGAAGTAAGACAAGATGAGGCTAGAGTAGGGTCCTCACCCTCAGGCTGCTTATCTGGAGAAAGTAGCTTTTGAAAGGCCTATAAGAACTTGTGTGAACTTGAACAATGGTTAAAGGGGAAGACCATTATTTGTGGTATGAAATGATGAACGTATTGCTTATACAAGGTTGAGTAAACAAACACACATATTTGGTGCTTCCTTGGGCAATGAAAACACTTTCGTAGCTCCATCTTTCATTTTGTAGCTCAGTTATTTTGAATGGCTCACCTAAGCTCTTCTCATTTCTAAAATGGCAACTATAAAGATTTGTTCTGCATATAAGACCAACATAAGAATTAAATGATGTAACAGAGGTGAAAATACTTTGTACCTGGAAGGTGGTATTCAAATGTTAATGTGTTTACCTTATTATTACATCTATGTGGTTTAGTGGACAGGCAGAGCTAGGGGAAATTGAGATTAAACATCAATAAGAAATAGTACTGCCCTGGCCAGTTTGGCTTAGAGGTTAGAGCGTCGACCTGTAGACCAGAGAGTCCCAGGTTCGATTCCCACTAAGGGCACGTACCTTGGTTGCAGTTTGTCCCCGGCCCCGGTTGGGGTTGTGTGGGTGGCAACCAGTTGATGTGTCTCTCTCACATCAATGTTTCTCTCTCTCTCTCCTCGCCCCCCTCCTGCTCTATCTGAAAAAAAAAAAAAAAAAAGACAAAAAGAACTAGTACTTTAGTTGGGCAGTAAAAATAGAAGAATTATCAGAAGGCATTTGTGAAAGAGGAGTTTGATCAAAGAAAGGCCAGAGGAGAGAAATGCCAGGAGTATTAGGGGGTGGCCTACATTTCTAACTGCCTGGAGGGGTGGCATGGGTTGAGTTAGAGTAAATGCTAATAAAAGAAAAGGCTGAGAGTAAACTGAATCAGAATGTGGAAGGCCTTGAGCAGCAGGAGGTTTGGCTGGGTAACTGAAGTTGTTGAAATTTTCTAAATGACAGACTCTCATTTAAGCTCTTGAAAGATCTTTAAGGCAGTAACATCTGGAAGGATGCACATGGATTCCGACTTCCAGACCCTATCTCTCTCTGTCTGCGATGAGAGGGACACAGTATTGTACAGGGGCTGTGGCCTCACTGTCCTGGAGAGCAGCTTCCAAGGCCAAGGCGCGCTCCCTCCCGGCTGTAATGCATTACTTCAGAGGCTGCTTTCTCTTTGTCTGGAGTTTGTAAATGATCTGGCTTCCATCATTCCAGGCATAGAGCTGCTTATCTCTGGCATTGTAATGGATCATGGAATGACTTCTTGGCCGCTTGGGAAAGAACAAGTTGGGCAGATCCTCCTCACTGATAATGCCCCGTGGGTCATAGACACAGGTGATGCGATGCAGGCTGTGGCCACCAGAACGATAGACCACATAGAGAACCCCACACAAGAGGAAGGCAGCTTCGGCATCCTGGCTTCTGCATGGAGTGTCCCATGAGTATTCCACTCCCAGTGTGCCAGGGTCAATTTTCGTGAGAACCAAGTGGCCATAGATGCCTGGCCCTGAGTGGATGGCCCAGAGCCCATGCTCATCCACAGCCAGGTCAATGTAAGTTGATGGGGAGTGCTGGTAGACCAGTGCTCGCCCTGCCCCTCCTGGGAGCAGCATTCGATCTTCCACAGTCCTCTTCTGCAGATTGTACTTGATTATCTCATTGGGAGTCCCTTGGTTATGAAAAAATAGGAAACCTTGGTAGATCACATGGCCTGTTCCCTGCCAGGTATGTGTTAAAATGAGCTTCCGGGGGCCTGGCTTGGTGCTATCCTCCATGAGTGCCCGCATGTTTGCAAATTCCCAAACAGTGTTATTTCTGGATCCAATGAAGAAATAAATCTTTGGAGAGTTGCTGACAGCATCTTTCATCCAAGAGCCATCTGTGTCCATAGTCCTCTTCACTATTTTCAGAGACTTTATGCTCATCAGCATGTTGTCACAGCCTGGCCAAACAGGAGAAAAAGGGGATGTTACTTTATAAATATGAGAAGTCTGCTTTTCTCATGGATGGCTTTTTCTCCACTTCAGTGTCTAGAATGAAGTTATCACACATAGATCAGTGACAGTTTATGGTTTGATTCAATGGATCAAAGAATTAAGTGAATAAACATGTCTCTGCTAAGGGAATTGCTGTTCAGCTAGAAGAGTCAGCATTTTATTCAAATCGGGATATAAACAGCTATTTGCTGCCAGAGACCCTGTTCACTCTCTAGAGCACTTGGGGGGTTGACACAGTGAGAATGACTCAGGTGTGCAGCTGATAACTCAATTTCATTTGCCAAGATTTTATTGGGTATCTACTGTGTTCTTAGCATATACGGCTCCCAGAACAGTGCTGTGTATTGAGGGTAAAAAGTATACTTCTGACATTGCCATAAAAACAAAAAATAAAAGCCTCAGATAGGATAAGAGACACTTAGAACAGAACCAAAGCACCCAATTTAGCCCAGCTTAGATCAACAAATCCTCATTCAATCAGAGATCCATGAGAATAAACAATTGCTGTTTTAAGTCACTCAGTTTTGGGGTTGTTTGTTCTACAGTATTTCTGAAGCAACAAATCTCTTTTTCACTCTATCCATAAGTTTTCTGTCTCTCTCTGTCTGCCTATCTATGTATTTATCGTCTGTCTATCTATCTATCTATCTATCTATCTATCTATCTATCTATCTATCTTTCTTTCTTTCTATCTATCTATCTATCTATCTATCTATCTATCTATCTATCTATCACACAGCTTATTCTTGTATTATTATATATTATTATATTATTTTCCATACAAGCAACTGTAAATTTACTTTTGCCAACACACACACACATACACACACACACACACACACACACACACACACACACAATTAACCCTACACCTTGAGGAGATCATCTTCTAGTAAAGGATTCTGGCCCTAAACTACTAGAACATTATAAGAGCTCTGCTCATCCATTCATTTATTTATTCATGAACGCATGCATGCATTTAGTCAGCAGACATTGGATACCTACAAAGGTAAGATACTGACCTAGGTGTTATGAGCTGGGGATGCAATGGGCTGGGGTACAATGATAAATTAGAAGTGGTTCTTGCTTAATAGATATATGACTAACTCAAATATAAAGCTTAGTATGAAATTTTTTTACAAAGACGAACTGAGACTAGAGATGTCATTTGAGGCAGAGGATAATCTGCATTTGAATTGGCCCTTGAAGGATGACTTTCTGAGCTGGGTGGGAAGAATATTCCTGACAGGTAACAAAACCATATTTAGGAAAGTCCTCCAAGGTTAGTATTAATAAAGTAGTATCACATTTAAACCAGCACAAGCTAAGTACTTGATATTGCCTCATTTTATTATCCTTCAATTTCTCACTCCTTTGCTATCACTTCCTCTGCTCTTTCATTTCCTCATGCTGTCCAGTCCCTTGACCTCTACTTTCTCCCAGGCCATCAGCCCTCTCTTGACCTCACTTCCTTTTTTATCCATCCTAGACCACTGTTAATAGCTCTCTGACCAGCACCCTCACCCACCAATCCCTAGTCATTCTACAATATCCACTCTACAAAAATCAGTTCCAACATCTGCCTCTGCCCTGGAGAGTTGTGTGTTGGAGAAAATCTCACAGTGGTGCATATTGATGCCACTACACATTAGGGGTCTCCAACCTCAACTGAGCCCTAAATACAATACTGCTTTTCATGGCTAGCACCCCTCCCCCATCTTCCACATAGCAGCTATCTTAAATCCTCCCCAACAAGTACCCCTTCATTCCCGTCATAACAACAGATTAACCTTTGAAAAATAAACACCATTAGACATGAATTCCCTTCACTTCCTTTCCCTCACTTATAAACTTTTCTTTAGTTGTCCCTACTTTGTTACCCTCCCACACATTTTAGGAGAGGCCATGTCATCCCTCCTGTCCAAGACTAATGCATTCACTGTGCTCTGGCCTCATCCTTTCCTGGCTTCTTCAGGCCTCCTGATGAATGATCACCTTTCTGTTACCTTGACTTTCTCCTTCACTATAGTTCTTTAGCTTGTAAACATCTTGCCTGCATTAAAAAAAAAACAATTCTTTCGGGGAAAGGATGGGAGGGCAAGGGGGGCCATGGAGGAGGAGAGAGGGGGCAGGAAGAGGAAAGATGGAGAGGGTGGAAGAGGACAAGGATGAGAAGTAGGCCAAGCATGGCGGATCCTGCCCAGTTTACTGTCCTGGGGCCAGCTGAGCCCATCCTGGCCATGGTGGGAGAAAACACCATGCTATGCTGTCTCCTGTCGCCTGAGAAAAGTGCCCAGGACATGGAGGTGTGCTGGTTCCAGTCTCAGTTCTCACCCGCGGTGCTGGTGTACAAGGGGGGCTGTGAGAGGGCAGAGGAGCAGATGGAGCAGTACCAAGGACGAACAACTTTTGTGAACAAAAACATTAGCAAGGGGAACGTGGCCCTCCTCATTCAAAATGTCAGAGTCCGTGACAACGGCCTCTACCACTGTTATTTCCAACAAGGCAAGTCCTATGATAAGGCCATCTTGTACCTGATGGTGGAAGATGCATCCTTTCACTTTGTTTGGTGGCTTTTTCACAGTGTGACTCTTGGAGAAAGTTTCTCTCTGAACCTCAGGTCCCCTGAAGACCAGCAGATTTTTGTCTAGAATCCCCTTTGACCTGGGAGGGCAGCTTCTTCCTGCCTGAGGGCCCAGTGAGTGGGTTTTCCCCGCTGAGCTGTGGGTATCCAGTGTTCAGAACACCCTGAACTCAGTGAGAGCCTTGAGCAGTAGAGCATTTAATCCCTACAGATTATCCTCATGCTACTTCTTACAGATCTCTAAGTGTCTTCTCCAGTAACATGCTTTAGAATTAGACATTTAGACATCTAAAGAAAAAAAAAAAAAAGGAAGAAGGACGGACGGAAGGAGGCAGGGAGGGAGGAAGGGAGGGATAAACGGAGGGAGGAAAGGAAGGAAGGAAGGAAGGAAGGAAGGAAGGAAGGAAGGAAGGAAGGAAGGAAGGAAGGAAGGAAGGAAGGAAGGAAGGAAGGAGGGAAGGAAACAATGATCTCATGAGGCACCCTTTTTGAGTTACTTCACTAGATTCTCCATAGCCTGCACTCTCTGTATCTACTTCCTCACCGCCCACTCTTTCACGTCATCATAACTTCACAGAAACTACCCTTCTTAATGTTACCAGGTACTTCCTAACTGAAAACATCAGACCTTTTATGTCCAAATCTTACTTGACCTTTCTGTAGCATGATATCATTGATCAGTTCCTCCTTCTTGAAGATTTCTTTCCCCTTGATCTTTGTGTCACCACTGTCTCTGTGTGCCTACTTTTCTCTGACTGCTTATGGCAGAGACAATGTCTGTCTGTGTTCATCAAATGTCATTTCATTGTCCTCATCCCTAGTTACACATTCGCAGCCTCCTGTGCAGTTAGGCTGCACCCACTGCCCTGTGTTCTGTCCAGCAGGATATGGACAGAAGTGGTGTAATCCATTTCTACCTGGCCCTTAAATACGCTATTTTCCAGAAGACCTTAGAGTCTTCGAATTTTGGGTCAATGTGAGATTATTCTACTGGTCATTCCAGGAAAAGTGGGTCATCAGTTCTAATTAGGAACTTGTTGTTGGCACTGTTCTGTTAGGCAGTCTGTTGTGAGGCGAGTAGTGTCCTGGAGGCAGGGAGTGGTGGCCTTACTAGAAAGCACTAAGAACCCTGTGGGTCTCCCTCAAATCCTGATGAGGTCTGTATCATGGGTAGGAGAGGATGGTCTTTTTTTTTTTTTATCCTCACCCGAGGACATTTTTCCATTTTTTGTTCAGATAGAGCGGGAGGGAGAGAGAGGAAGAGAGAGAGAGAGAAACATCGATGTGAAGGGACACATCGTGTGGCTGCCACCCGCACGACCAGCCAGGGCCGGGGACAAACTGCAACCGAGGTACGTGCCCTTAGCGGGAACCAAACCCGGGTCTCTCTGTACCGCAGGCCGACGCTCCAACCGCTGAGCCAAACCGGTCAGGGCGAGGATGGTCTTAATAAGAGCATGGAACTCCCTCAATGGTCCTCCCTCAATGACTGGAGGGTGAGGTGGTGGAATGATAGACATGTGTATATAACAGTCCCTCGAGGAGAACTGGGCACACTGAAGGCCTCCTTAAGAACTTCCAAAGACTTTGGGATAAGAAGCTGAGGTGCCAGTGGGCCGTCATTTTTTACTTGGGTTCTGTAGGCCAACTGGAGGTCATCTAGAGTTAGAAGACAAGAAATAGGGTGAAGGGAGAGAAACTAGACACAAGGAAGAAAGGTGCACAGTCAGACAAGTCACAGGTTCTGAGGTAATTAAGCATTTCAGCAATTAGCTTGTTATTGCCAGATGTTTGGGTAGAAATCCTACCATAGTTCCTTAATCAATTCATCATCAACCATTATTATACCTTCTCTTTCCTCAAGCTTCCATCATGCCTTCTCACTCTCCTATGAAGATCTTGCCTCTTATTTAACTGAGAAAATAGGAGCAATCTGAGAACTACATGTCCTACTGGATTACTGCAATAGTCTCCTACATGATGACCATACCTCTATCCTTGACTTCTATAGTTCATTCCCAGCCTAAGGGATCAGTTAGATCATGTCACATGTCTGCTCAAAACTCAGGAGTAACCTCCCATCTCACTAAAAGTAAAGCTCAAGTCTTTGCCTTCCAGAGCATATGTGAGCTGTGCCCCTCCTCCACCCCTCTGCCTTTCTGGCCTTGTCTCCTACAACTCTACCTTGTTCATTTTGTTCAGTCACACTGGCCTCCTTACTGTTCCTCAAATTGTGCCAAGCACTCTCCTGCCTCAGAAATTGGACATTTTTGTTCCCTCTGCTTGTAACCCAACTCTCTTCCCCAAGTTATCACACAGCTTCCTCTCTTGCTTCCTTTAGGTCTGTTCTCAAATGTTCAC